CATTATCTGAGCCACTACATTGAGAGAGACAGGCTTGGATGTGACTGTGCTCTGCTGTGGTTCTTCTGCAATGAACACAAAGATACACATAAGGCTGTAACCCCTCAGCAAACAGAAGGCTACTGCTGGCAGTTCATGCTACTCATAAGGAAAATAGTATCTTCAGGTTTTTGGAAAGTGATGTAGGAAAGTTCTGATGAATTTCAGAAGGAAAAAAAAAAAAGATGACTTCTGATAAATCTGTGTAGATTCAGTGGTATTACACAGTAAGGTTTTGCAGGATGTCAGAAAAAGAGAGCAGAAGTGAGAAATTACTTTCATAAGGAGAGTACATTTTTCTGGGAGCAGACTGACAGAAGCAGCTGTCAGTATTTCAGTCAGGGATTTTCATATCTTCTTGATTACAGTGCTAAGGTTCAGGTGGGAGAATAACCACCTACCCTGACTGACCATCAGCTCAGTCAGAACGAATCCTAGAGAAATATCAACAGTCAAATACTCTTCCTGCTCTTATATTTAGGCAGACAGCATCATTGCTTGTGGTCAAAGTCCTGTCATACCAACCAGGAAAAGCTGCTGCGAAGTACCAGCCACGCTACCCACATCACCTCCCTGCCACCACACATAACAGCAAAAGAGGAAGGAGCCATCTGCATGAGGATTCTCCAATAAGCAAGCTACTTTTCAATGAATGCAGAGCAGAAGCAAGCACAGGCTGAGCTGTTGGTTGATGTCTCGAAGCACCCCATGGCATGCTCGCAACAGCTCCATAGGGGCAAAGTGGCACCTTACATCTCATCTTGCCAGCAGGACCAGGATATGAGTGTCAAACTGAATGTATGTAGCAGGGAGAACTGCTCTGTTGCTGGAGGGTGGCATCATTAAACACTGTTAGGCACACCTAACTTTTCAGTGTCCTCTTTCATAATGCTGATGGCCTTTGCTGACAGCACAGTCAAGCTGTGTGGCAGTGGACGAATGAGCCACGGCTGAAAACACAGAGGAAATTGGTAAATTCATGTACATCTAGAAAATAACTATAGGTAATAAGCATAGCGAGCCTACTTTGGAGATATAAACAATATTTCAAGTCCTCAGGGCCTTTAGATTTCCTTTCAGGTTTACATTGTAAAAAAACCCACGAATACACAGATTGATTTATTTCTATTTTTTTTAGGCAATCAATAACATACTGCTGAGTTTCTTCACAGTTGTCTGTCAGATCAGAAATTACCTCCTGAATACAGACCTAACCAGCAGGCCACAAAGCTTCATCAGTAGACTGCCCCTTTCTTCTGCTTCTTCCTGCCTATTTTGAACCTACTGGATTCTTCTAAACTACAATTCAACTTTAGTCACAAGGGCTTGCCCAAAAAAGCCAGAAAGTTTCTTTCTGCTAGATCCATGCCTTTTTTCATATTAACTGTAAACATACACTGTTGCTTCTGATATTATATATCGCTAAAAGAGTTAAGACTGCTCTGTTTCATGGCTTCCACCAAGCACTGGTGCATATCCTCCCCTCACCTTTGATTAGTTTCCTTGATCATTCCATGACAAATCTGCAAATCAGTGTGCTTGGAGGGGGACATGGGGACATGGATCTGCAGATTTCTGTTTGTCATTTCCTCAACTAATCAACCATACAATTAAGACTTTCACTTGGAGAGGAGATAAAGAATCAAGCCTTGCTTTTAATTACTTTAACCTATGAACAATTTGTTACAAGAGTCTACAGATGGAGTTATGATTGTATCTTAATCAAACATCTGAGTCTTACTGCATATCTTACTGCATATGCCAGCAATGTTGGGAAATAATTAAACAGCTTCTACAGTAAGCACACAGTGATCTACTTATCTCAATTAGACATCAGCTTTGCTTCAAAAGAAACTCCTCTGGAAAAGCAGGTGTCCATCTTCCTCAGGCTAAACCACCACTGAAGATCCAGTGTGAAAACAAACATACAGCAAGGTACTTCATTCCTAGCACCCCTAGCATGCTTGTATCTCTCTTGTAATCGTCTCTCAGCCTAACTCAGGTCTCCTACACCTTGTACCACAGAACACATCACTTTCCAAAGCAACTTTGAAGCTGGTGTCAACTAAGGACAAAGTTATATAGAGAGCATCCAAAGGAGGGCTACAAAGATGGTGAAGGGTCTGGAGGGCAAAGCATATGAGGAGGTCCCTGAGTTTCTTCAGCCCAGAGCAGAGGAGCTGAGGGGAGCCCTCAAGGTGGTTGCAGCTCCTCACAGGGAGTGGTGCTTTCCTCATGAGACCAGGTTTTAAATCACTTCTATCTCCAGAACATACTTTGATGGAATAACTGACAAAGTTCAAATGGTTATTAATACTATCAGGAGCCTGAATAACTTCTCTTGTACCAGGTGTCTTCTGTAGCAAAATTCAGCTACAATGCAGAAAGAATGAAACTTGTTACTGTGATTCGCTGAGTCATTTCAGGTTGTAAAGAAGAACATATGGCACTTGTGAGCTTTCCTCAATATCTTTGATTTTTTAATTAGATTCCTGTGCAAGTCAGTCTGCTGGCCTACAGCTGTAGACCCCACGTTACAAAGCAACTTTAGGAGTCTCACTGTTCTGTCTGATAGAAACCACTACGTCAGGAAACTGCTGCAGGCACTGCTCCTGCTGCTTCTACCCTAGGAACTGGTCAGTAGGTAATTAACACCGCAGAATTAAAGGGATAGTCCAAAAACGCAGCTACGCCTTAACCAAAATGCAAATTAACGCTTTAATGCATTACATTGCTTTGTAATTTTAGGATGCTTTTGGTATCTTTATCATTAGGAAACTGTATGCCGTAATTTTCTCTTCCATGTCTTCACATGGTTCTTAAATTCACCTTGTGCTACTGACAAACTTGCTCTAGGCTTTCTCTGCTATTTGGAAAGCTGCAGATGATCACAGGCAAAATGAAATTAAGTTAACAATTCTGTTAACAAACCTGAAGAATTTGCAAAGCAACAAACAGTGCATCTACATCATGGCACTGAAGCATGGCAAAAAGAATCAACAGGATCACATGGTTGTGGCATCCAATCTCCCAGCAAGCCTCTAGTCTTGGTAAATTTTAGAATCAGGACCAGTATTCTCTTTTTCATAGTACAGGATCAAACAAAAATAAAGTCTTTTTCTTTTGCTGTTGTTTATTTATTTTAGAAAGAACCTCCAGAAGAGTTCCATGGTGAATTATGACTTTTCATGAATGCTGCAGTGTATACAGTCTCAGTGACACTTGTAACCTGAAGCAGCAAAGCATGGCACAATACACTGGAAAAATACATTGGTTACATTAATCACAATGGCATAGTATCACAGCTGTCCTTTTTTTAAAGTCAATGTGAATCTGGCAGTTCTGCAGTTGTTTATACTGATTTACTTTTTTGAGGAGGGAAGTCTTAAAAATTCAGAAAAGCTTCAAGACTGTTGTAGTCATGTTCAAAATATTCATTGCTCTTGCAAATCCATCCTGATTCAATAATATTTCCTGAACTTACGAGCTAGTATTAAAAATAACCTCTTTTACAAAAGAATAAGTTAAATACTTTACAAATCAAACAACAAAAAAAGTAGAGCTCATGCATATTTTCTTCAGTGGTATGGGTGCCCGAAGTTCCTTTCAAGTTGCAGGACTCTTAAGTCATTTAAAACTGTAACAAAGCTCCAACACAAACTGATTTTAAAAATGATTAGAGTTACAAAATAAACAACGTATTTTCTTTTAAATGTTTGAATATCGTATAATAATCAGTGCTAAGAGTCACCTGCACATCAGTCAAAGAGAAACCTGCAACTTGGAGTTCACTTGCTTATTCAGCATCAATTTTTCTTAAAACAGTTTGTCAGGAGAGAAAAGCAATCCTGTTGCAGCACAGGAAGGGTCACAATCCCTCCAACACTGCACCCTTTCTTTGTCAGTGGATGTGCTGAAGATGGTGTTACACAAACTCCTGGGGAATGAAGATGAACTGGATGCATCATATTCAGCCCTGCTTTCTATGACTTTGTAATGTGCAGAAATGCCTACAGGCCTGAACTTCTCAAAGGGTGACGTTATTAGGGCTATGCAGTTGGCTATTGCTTTAAAGCTCAAACACACCTATGTTCTGTGTTAATTAGTAGTGTACACAGCATTATACATAGTATGATAGTGAGGAAACACTTTTTTCTAAGTGATAATAGCAAACAATACTAAGGAATTCAAAATATAGAAAAGTTAAATAAACGTTCTCCCATCACTATTTCATAAAACACTATGATTAGTGTTAAATTACACTTATGACAACCCCTTTGCTTCAAATCAAAGGGAGTGAAGGAAACCTAAGCACTGTTGCACCATGTCTTTCAAACCCACACCAAAACCCAGACCAAGTCTCTCTCATATGCCATGCATAAGATCTGTGAGTAGGGCAGAAAGACATCTGATAATTAGCAGAACTAAAACACTGCTCTATGCTTTGAGGAGAGAGATATCAGAAATAGGGTCTCTCTTTGACGGCAATTTTCTAATTCTGGAACAACATAGACTGCACCAGAAACTGCTCATCCACTCCATCTCATCTAATAGACAAGCATTTTCCACATCATAACACTCTAAATAGCTGAGCAGGAAAAAGCCTAAACCCTTCCCCTTCCCTCCTTCAGAAAACTGCATCTATGCTATTTACAGATTTGAACTCTTGTCTGTACAGAAGTTTTGTAAATATAGCCAATTTCAAAGTCAAAGTCATTAAGAATTGAATCAGTGCCTTGAAAAAAAACCCAGCTCAGATGGCCTCCATTTTCCTTCCTCAGCACTAGTGTTCAATACTTGTTGACTCTAAACCCTCAAAGGCACCCAGCCAATATGAAATCTAAGTCTCAGGGACTAACCCAGAATTTAACCTGGCTGTATCTAGACCTTGGCCTGTAACTCTCATAATCCAGTTTATTCATTCAAAAATAAGCAAACCAACAAAATATAAACAAACCAACCTTGCATAATTATTTGCGCTCTGCATGCCTTCCTTCTCTCTGCATCCTGGAGCAAAAACACAAGGGTGGGATGTATTCCTAAACACTGCCCTTGTTGCTCAACGAGCTGAAGATTTTTTGCTGTTTTCTTAGTGCTGGCAATCTGAAAAACAAAAAACATTTTGTTAACACGTGGATGCCAGGGTACATTAGAAATAAGTTCAGTTCTGAACCACTGCCAGCTAAACCATAAACCTCTCACAGGCAGACAACTCACCCAAGAAGAGTAACTAGAAGCACCTTCACCGAATTGATACATTAGTTCAGCACTCATGAGCAGCAGCAAAAAACTTCAGAAACCAGCAACACAACAAATGTCAACATGTGCCTCAGAGGAATATTTGTTGAGCCATCCTGGTTTGTTGTAAGGAGGAGATCTGCGCTGCAATAACTCCATTATCCCCACCCAATCCACTTGACCAGGAAAGAAAGCTTCAAAGGAGCCATCATCAGCATGGAGTCCTTCTACAGCAGAGGCACTGACTGTGAATAGTGCCTACCAAATCCCAGCCATGACCTCATAAAATAGCCATGCTTTAGCTACAAAGATCTATGCAAGGTTGCTTGCAGCAGCCCAGCCACGCTCCTGAGAACAGCATTCTGTTTTTGAGCAGACAGATACAGACTAACCTGCTGCTCTTCTGTCTGCACCACTTGAAAACAGTAAGACAGAAGATATCACTGATCTACTTGTTCCATATGATTATACTGGAGATAGTGTCTAACTGAGCTCCCCAAAGCTGGCAAGGAAAACTTCTTGCTCTACAAATTCTGTTGTCTTCATACTGCAAACTGTCAGACTGTATTACAATACTTGCTGTGATGTTTAAATTGGCATGGCTGATTTTCAAGAGCTTCTTCACGGCACACAGAACCTTGTCATAAGAAATATCCTTATTTTTACAACATTTAAACTGACAAACTACAGCACAACTAAAACTAAGAATTTTTTCCTACTTCAAAAGGCAGATTTCACTGACAAGCCAGGTGATAGAATCAGCATATAACAAAATAGACTCTCAATTAAAGCAGTACACATAAAATAGGAACTAGTGGTTGCTCTTGCATTTAAACAGTCAAGCAGAAAAAAAGAGCTAGATAGAACTACATGTTTTCTTTTACTAAGACAATTTAGTAGGATTAGAGCATATTCCTACTTCGCAATAGTCTCAAAATGACTTCACTGAAAAACAAAGACTGCCCCACTAAAATAAAATGCAGACAAAATAGCAAGTAATACAAGCAGCAAAGCCACAATACAAAAGGGACAAATTAACAATGGGTCAGTAAAATAAGGAGCAGTATCAGGCTGTAAGTTACACCCAAAGGAAACATGAGTAATAAGGCTTAAGTAATATTCTTCTCCACTGTTATCATAAAATCCACTTGCAAATTTCCTTCTACAAAACAGAGAATTGCTCTGCTGTGGGAAGGAGCAGATAGCTATCAACACCAAACATTTAGAGCGCACAACACCAAAATGGCGATGGACTTCAGGTAACACACTGCTGACCTATGCAGCATGGATGACTTCTGTTGCAAAGCTCATAGAGTTGCTAACATGACCGATGTACTTTTGCCATACTGTGTTTTCCTTCCCCATGAGGTGCTTCTCAAAAGAGACAGTTCTTCATTAACTATGGTACCTAACTCCTGACCAGCAATTAAAACTCAAAAGATGTAAACAGCAGCTTGTTTTCACCTACATGAATCTTTCCAAAATTCCTGAAATTAGAAGTGCTCTATCCCTTTCCAGGTTTCAGCTCACAGCAGAGAGCTGCTTGGGTATATTCCCTTTCCTACCTTAACCCATTGCCATCTCTTCACAGATGGAACTTCTTTACTAACACTTTGGCAGGAATAGAGAGTAATGCAAGAGCTAGGAGAAGCTAAACGCAAACTTGTGTCAGTGTGCACACAATTTCAGCAATGTAGACCTGAACTCTGTACTCAGTGTAAACCTGATTCTGATGGATTTTCGTTGGCCCTAGCATTGGAGAAATGTAGTTGGCTGTTTGCTAATTACAGCTGTGATGATCTCGCAATACTAAAACTCGTTTATCCAAGGTTTGTAAATGTACAGCCAAAACATTTCAATGTGGGTAAAAACTGGAAGAAATGAGAGTACTATGTTTATAGCAGGCAAATGGTGTAATACTTCAGATAATGAAAGAGTCAACTTATGAGAAAGTAACACAATACCTCCCTTCCAGTCAAGCTTCACTCAGAAACTTGTTAAGGTCTACATCCTGTTTCTTGAAAAAAAAAACTTACTGGCCAGGAAGGGCCAGTTTTTCTGAAGTGTTCCCAACACTCCCAGTGAGTTAACTGTCAGAGAGGTCCTAATGTCCCTCCTCAAAATGTCCACCAAATGTTGAAAGAAGTTTGCCACTGTCAGCAAAAACTTTGCAGCAATTCTGTGCCAGCTCTGTGATAGCATTTCCCCATATTTGCAGAGTCCTTAATAATAACGCTTAATATGAGGAAGCTCCCAATAAAATGCAGCATGTTGCTGCACACATTCAGAGCTTTAGTCATTCAAATATATTTTTATAGCAGGCTAGGGAGAAGTAGACATTACATCAACAATCTTACAACACTCTTCTTACCTCTTTCATAAAACAAACCTCTTAATACCACTTATTCTCATCAAAATATTAATCCGGGTAAAGCACTTCTAAAGGAATCAACAGGAAAATATCTTCCATGCATTAAAAATGGATAAAGGTAACAAAAAGAAAGCAATCAAAAGACAGAACTGCCATATGGAAATAATTCTCACACAAACCTCAAACACATCTCAGAAAGCAGTACAATCCTTCAGTATACTAAAGATGCCAAAACGCAGTGCCATAACATGGTAAATACAACGCAAAAGGATCTGCCATTTAGTTAAGGACAGACAAGTAGGCACAGCTGGTAATTTTTTTTATTTTTTTTTTTTAACAGAATGACCTGCAGTAAGACAGTAAGCACTATGGTTTTAGAACCAGAGTTTGCCATTAATCTTGTACTTACACTTCTATCTTTCTGCTGTATAAAAGAGGAGTAAACAAATATAAATATCAGCAAATAGTGTGACAGTGAAGATCAGATATAATAACAGGTAAGCTGCTCCTGCACACAGAACAAGAAAAAAAAAAACAAAGGAGAAAAATCTAGCCATTCTAAATGTGCAAATGTACTAAACACAAAGCAGTCAATCAGTCATTCCTAATCTTTGAATGATCAACTGGAAAAAAAAGTAAAAACGACCACTGTGTTAATATTATTTACCTTTAATTCACTAGTTACACAAAAACCACTGATCACTGCTGAAAGCTTCTCTCAGCAGAAGTTTTAATTAGAAAGATTATCATTGATTAATCCACCTGAGTCACTCTGAAGGTGTGACTGAACAGAGATCATTCCACCTCAGAGAAATGTGCATTAATTAGTACTGGATTAAACTGTTTTCCTCCTCATTCAACTTAAAGTGAAAAGAAAAAAAAAAAAAAAAGAACAAAAAGCTCCGCAACACAGCAAGAAAAACCCTTCAGTATTATGCTGCTGAGATACTTTTTATTTTACTTTCCTCTTTAGGAAACTCCATGCTTTCTTGCCCTGGATTTCATAGCCTTCTTTTTAACTTCATCACATTTCTGAATAATAAACAAACCTAGGCTAGGAGATCAATATATATTTGCAAAGCATTGCCAAAAACCTGTAGCCATGGATCAGTAAGAAAGGCCAAGCCATGAAGGATGACACCGGTGCTTGATGAGAACATACACAGTGCTATATACATACCACAAATGAAACCAGGCATACTCCCACCCAGAAAGTGAGTTTCAGCATCCCACCTAGGGAGACAATCAAGTAGAAAACCTCATTTAAAACTTTCATCATTTTTCCTTAAGCTCTCAGCTCTCACCAAAAGACCTCCAGCTGCATCTTGGCCTACAGCCTGATCCTGAGTCTTTTACCCTTGAAAAACAGGTAACAGCTCCTTGACCATATTTGTATACCACAATTCACAGTGACCTTAATTTGGTAGAGCTTGCATGTCACCTGTCTTTAAGGTCACAATTCTGTCTGCTGATGTTCTGATAAGCAAGCAAGATTAGCTAAATTTTCTCTTTTCAGGAAAATGCCCTCTTGGCCTCTACACTAAAAGAAAACATCCCCATCTTATGATCTCCCTCCTCACAGTCCTGTCCATAAACAAGGGAGAGTCCATGTCTTTCCCAGAGGCCTGGAGGCAGAAAGCTGATTCCCAGACCAGTTCTACCAAATAACCCCTCCCACTCCATTTTCCTTCATCCAGGAAGGTCTCCTGCAAGGTGGTGATTCAGCTCTGTGTGCAGGCACAATCCCTCTTTGGTCACCAGATGACATTAGAAAGATAGGTATGAGGGAGACTGGACAGCCAGGTCAGGCAGGTCAGAGAGAGGCAGAGCTTTGTCTTCCACAGCATCAATTGCATGATTCAGATAATCTCCACTCCTGTGTACACTTCAGATAGTTTGCACTATTTACCTTTGTACTTACTTTCAAAGCCCAAGTCACCATGCAGGACACACAGCAGTCCTACAGAAGTTCTGGTACATGGACAGAAAGGATTTTTCCATTGGCCTCTGTCAACTCAATACATAATCAATAAGTGGCGTCAGCAGAAGTGAAGTGAGCAAATCTCATCCTACATCAACATGCCATTTTAAGAGCATCTAGAATAAATCCTTTTCTGGGTCACTTTATTCTGTTGCCACTATGTTTGATGGAGGAGGGTTTTTTTCAGAAATCAATTATTCTGAGGTTATTTTGTAAACAAGCTATGGAAAGAAGAAAATTTGCCTATTTTACTGCAAAGGACTGAGGCCCCAGTTGCATCCTATTGTGGCTTTTGACAGTCACAGGGCACTCATAGGTCAGTTCAGTGATGCAGACTTAATAAGAAGGTGACTGATTGGAAGCAGACACAGAAATACCAAAATTGAGCCTGATCTATTCACAGACAAATGCAAAGCCATGGTTCACCAGTGCTGACAGAAATCAACCTTCAGAGAGCACAAGTGAAGCCCCAGTACCAGCTTGGGACTTCAAAACATTTTTGCAGTGGAGCAA